CAGGAGTGGAAAGCACCAATAGCTAAGGTTACAACAGTAACCGGCCTCCACTGTCATCAACCACACAGTAGCTTCTGGAATGACGTTCAAGGCACTTAGAGGCCAGGCCTCAGCTCAAATGTTCCATGTTTACCCAGGGACCCTTTCCTCAGAACGATACCATAAAAGCACCCAGATACCCAGAACTGCTAGTCAAGCCCAAACAGGAACAGATTTTTTAAGGTTGTTTTGTTTTGTTTTAATGATCCAGAGGATTGCTGTGCAGCCCAAGCCAGCCTTGAATTCCTGATGGTCCTGCCTCAGCTTCCTGAATGCTGGGATTTCAGATGTACTCTGCCATATCTGGCTAAGAACAGGCTTCTGGGGCTGGAGAGATGGCTCAGTGGTTAAGAGCACTTGCTGCTCCTAGAGGACCTGGGTTTGATTTCCATAAGGTGGCTCACAACTGTCCTTAACTCCAGTTTCAGGGGATCTGATTCCTTCTTCTGGCCTCTGTTGGCACCAGGCATGCATGTGGTACACATACATACATGCAGACAAAACTCTCATGCACATGAAACAAAAATAATAAAAATTAATCTTTTTTGGTTTTGCTTTTGCTTTTGCTTTTTTGTGTTTTGTTGTTGTTGTTTTGGTTTTTTGCTTTTTGAAACAGAGTCTCCATGTAAGCCCAACTGGCCTGGAATTTGCTATATAGGCAAGGCTGGACTCAATCTCACAGAGATCTACCTGCTTCTACCTCCTGAGTACTAAGACTAAAGGTAAAAATAAATCTTTTCGTTTTGTTTTGTTGTTATTGTTGTTTTGGACAGAGTCTCCCTAGTCCCAGCCCACCTGGAAGTCACTATGTGGACTAGGCTGACCTCGATCTCACACAGAGCTGCCTGCCTTTGCCTCCCAAGGACTAGGATTAAAGGTGTATACCACCATGCCCAATGTTAAAAGTAAACATAAATCTTAAAAAACAAAACAAGGGCTAGGGAGATGGCTCAGTGGTTAAGAGCTCTGGCTATTCTTGTAGAAGACCTGGGTTCGAATCCCAGCACCCAAATGATGGCTGACAACCCTCTATAGCTCCAGTTTCAGGGGATCCAATGCCCCCTCTGTCCTCCACAGGCACCGCAGAACACAGATGCATTTACACATTACAGGCATAACACTCATATACATAAAATAAAAATAAATAAAAACTGAAAAAGACAAAACAGGCTAGAGAGATGGCTCAGTGGTTATAAGAGCACTGGCTGTTCTTGCAAGGGACCCAGGTTCTATTCCCAGCACCCACATCAGGCAGCTTACACCTGCCTGTAACTCCAGTTCCAGGGGAATTCAAGACCGTCTTCTGACCTCCATGGGCATTGCACAACATGGGTGCAGTTACACACACGCAGGCAATACACTTAGACACATAAAATAAAAATAAAAAGCAAAAAATGGGGGGCTGGAGAGGTGACTCAGCAGTTAGGAGCTCTTCCAGCAGACTTGAGTTCAGTTCCAAGCACCCACATCAGACAGCCCACAACTACCTGTAACTCCAGCAGCTCCAGGTGCTCTGAGATCTCTGGCATCCTAGGGCACCCACACTCACATGCACACACCCCCAACCCATACACATGATTAAAAAGAAAATCTTTTTAAAAAAGAACAGACTTATGTGGGGCATGGTGGCTCATACCTATAACCCTAACACTTGGGAGGCTAAGTCTGAAGGATTGTCATGAGTTTGAGGCCAGCCTGGGCTACATAGCAAAATTCTGTCTCAAAAAAAAAAAAAAAAAAGACTTGCAAACACAAAACATTCACCCTGGAGCAAGAGGGGGCCTGAAAAACTGCATTACCTAACCCATTT